TGGTACAGATCTGAGAGGGCAGAGAAGAAGCCCATGGCAGAGCCCTGGCGGTAAGCAATGACGAGCCTCTTCTCGCGGCTGCCTTCGATCTCGAACATCTTGATGACGGGGCCGGAGCGAGCAACGGCATTGATGAGGAGTTCCTGGTAGATCGCCTTGGTGTTTTCGGTAGCCTTCTGCAGGAAGAGCTTGTCACCGACGATCTCAATGTTGGTCTCCTCGGGGTCGGGGTTGGGGTTGGCGAATTGACACTTGTAGACAAAGTAGCAACGCAGCTGCTGCTCGCTGTTGTCTGGCAGTGGGCTGGACGAGCGGAAGGTCTCGACACGGAAGCTGTCGGTAGCCGTGGCTCCGTTGATGTACTTTTCGTCGATACGCTGCTCGTAGCGGGGGCCGTCGGTGGTAGTAACGCCGGGCCTGCTGGTGTCGATGTAGACGGCGTGGTCCTCGGCCTCCTTGTCAAGTCTGATCTCTAGCCGCTTGTCGTCACGGGCGTAGGCAGCCACTTTGGCAGCATAAAGAGAGAGGATGTGGCTGGCAATAACCTCGACGGTCTCGGTCTGGAAGTACATATCGTCGATTCCGAGCAGGTTATAGAACCAATTTGTCTCGGAGGCGACGAATTCGTATGGAATGAAGCCATTGTTCTCCAATTGCTCGGACACTATATAAATCGGGTTTCATCAATTAGTCCTCGTGAGCCACGTAATGCAATTGCATTCAATCGTGCAGCTTTTATCATCACGTACCAGCAACCATCTGTGCCTCCTTGCCTTCGAACTTGGCTGCCACATAGCCGGGGCCTTGCTCGGCCAGGACACGGTGAGTGCCTCCCGGGATACCGAGATGGGTGGGCTGGGGGGACGGCTGGCGGCCTGGAGTGCGCACAACGCTGTCCAGCTGCTTGTTCAGGGGACGCTGGAAGCCCGTTGGCGTGCCAGCGCCCGAATCAGCTGCCGGCTTGGGGTGGGAGGGCAGCCCGCCGTTCTGAGGGGAGTCCGACATGGTTGCGGGTTCGGTTTTCTAGGAGCTTCGTAAAAAACAAAACGGTCTGTCTGGGTTCTATATATCGTCAAAAAGGGTCTATTGCAGCTATAGGAGCAGCGAGAGGAGAGGCTGTGTAGAGCACGCAGCCATGGGACAGCTGCAGGAGTGAGGATGAGCAGGCGAAGTCGTGACGTTGACGTCGAGATAGAGTCGGGGAGGAGGAGGAGGAGGAGGAGGGGCAGAAGGAGAAAAAAAGGGCAGCAGCAGCAGGCGGTAGAGCTCGCCTTAATAAGCAGTTTCGCGTGGGGCGGCTAGCGGAGGCAACAGCGAAGCGCCGGCGGCGGAAAGACGGAAAGCGTCGGGAAAAGCGCAGAGCACCTGACCTAAGCCATGGTGACTAAGCAGTCATGTGTCGTGAAAAAATTAGCGCCCCGTGACTTTTTCTGGCTTAGCTAAGCATCTAGACTTTGGGCCTCGTTGCTTTTTGCGACGTCGCGGCATCAAAAAAGCGAACGCAGCAGCGAACGCAGTGACAGCGACAGCGCATGCAACGGGAGAGACTGCGAGACGGCGGAGGTGAAAGACGCTGCGTTGCTCTCAAACTCGCCTTGTCGTGGTAATTCTCCGACTGGCCAGGCAGCGGGCTCGCCTCCAGGCCCGATGACACTGTAATCACGGCTACCTTGGAGCAAGGCATGGATATTGCTACTACTCCCTACCACTACGGAGAACTGCTACTACGGAGTAATGCTACTACTAGACAGCTGCGGAGACGGTGAGCCCACGAAACAAGCAGGATCCTTCGCAGCTGACTGCAAAAGGCGACTCTAGACCTCCTCGCTTCGACGGCGGCGGGCGTGCTGGTTTGGTTTGGCCGTCGTCTTCTTCGTCAGCCGGGAACTCGCCTGGCAGTCAGTCCTGCTGATCTGTTTCACCAGGGGCTCACCGTTCGAAAGTGTATAGCCCAAACCGTCCTCAACAAAGAGCGCCTGACAGGCCTCTCGGGCGATCCAGGCAGTCAATGACTTACCGATCAGAGACAACGAGGCCGCAGCGCAGGCTGGCCAGCTTACGGATGACGACCTGTTCCAGGCCTTGCCTTGTTTGTTCACCTCCTTTTTCCTTTCTGTTGGTTGGCCGTTGAACCATTCGTTTGTCTGGACGGGACGGGCATATAATCAAGAGCTCCCAACATCATTTCTCCTGTCACACCGTCAACGCCTTTCTTTCTTCATTATTTCTCCTGATTGATGCACCCCAGGGCAGTCCTTCTTTATTCATCAACTCCGCAAGTAGATCATTCCGGGGTAGCTCATTTATTTCGACTATTGAAAATCCAGGGCCGGCTCGATGCCTTCGACAATTAATAGTACAGATTCAAAGAAAGCGCTTTGGTCTTCTCTTCTTTTCCACAGAAACAATATTATTTAGTCGCCATGATTCTCAACAAGAAGATTTACCTTTACACCTTATTTGCCGTCAAATCGTACCTTGATCGCCCAGCTTGAAGCCTGGCCCGCGGAAGTTAAGCGTACATACGCATATGCAGCCCGCATCACCAGTCGGTCTTTTTGCTTCCTTCTTCCATGTCCGGGTACATGCACGATAGACTACACAGGGCGTATCCTACCCATCCTCTCCCCTCCATCACGCAATTGCTGCTCTGTGACAAATCCCAGCTGCGCTCCTGCTTCCATCTTCCTGTCGAGCATGAAGACAGAAGAAGCAGACAAACAGACGGACAGGAAGGCTGCCTTCCTGCCCAAACCACTCCTTTTCCCTAACCGCCCCTTTTTCTCCCGTTCCCCCGTCAAAACTCCATCTCCTTTCCACCCCCTGATGATGTAACCAGCGCCTCTTCATAACAAAAGGGTGAAAACTGGGGAAACCCCAGCAACCGGTTGGCACAGCCGTCCATTTATCGTCTTCTTTTCTTTTCTAGTCCTGTCTTGTCCTTTTCTCCCTTCTCCTTCGCCCCCCTCCTCCCCATCCCTGACACCACGTTCGGACCGGTCGACAGGCTGACAGGCTGACGGGCTGACGGGAGCTGGGTTTGGTAGCCAACCGGATACTGCGCAAACCAATCCAGCCACTCCAACCAGCTTCCATTTACAACTGCACTGCTACTACGCTCTGCATCCATCCACTCAATCCATACACACACACTCACTCCGGCAGACCTCGCAGCGCAAGACAATTTAAAATCCCTCGTATCATCTTCAACCCTCAGCCAGTCATGGGAAAGGCGTGCTGGCGGGACCAGCCGGACTTGGTCACATCCTCCGTTTGAATCGTAGTTTTTATTATTCACTCTTATTACTTTTGGATTTCCCAGCGCCCTTGAGGTCCTTGTCTGCTTGTCTGCTGCCCTGGTCTAGTCAAAGCACATCTGAGAGCGAGCAACCATGGCTAGCTGCTTGGATGGCAAACTCCATTATACCTTGTTGACTCGCTAGTTCACCAAGTATCCGACTCTAGAAAAGTCCATGGACGGAGCAGCCTGCCGTGTTTCATCTTTTTCCTTTTTTGTCTCTCTTCTCTTTCGCTCTCTTGGTTTTTTTTTTTTTATTTTTTATTTTCATTAACTAACTACTTGATGGATGCCTTACCAAGGTTACTCCTGCGAGGAAACGAGAAAAGCGCTTCTTGCGACGGACCTTGATCGTTGGTTCGTCTGCCTCTTCCGTCCCCCTTTTTTGATTGTTGCAATTATTACCTTGCAGCTTCTATTTTTTTTTTTTTTTCCAGGCCTTATTTCTTTCTTTCAGTTTCGGTATTTAAAGGCTTTGTCTCTTCCGCTTCCCTGGGAATTTCTTCTTTTCTCCTTCCCTTTCTTTTCCCCAGACTTTTCGTTCTCCGCAATTTTTTGGACGTTGAACCAGGACTCAAAAGGCACAGTTGTATAGCCTTACTTAGCCAGTCAGCTATTAAAACAAGCAATACCAGACTGCTATCAGCCCAATCTATTAATCAATATATTCGTCAGCTCGTTGATCGTCCAGAACCTTCATTTGCAAGACGTATCATTTCTATCAACCAATTTCAACGGGCAGGATCCCTTCCATCTACCAAATATCTTCGGCCAATACCACAATCATCACCAAAAAAGAACATACACATCGGCAATGGCTTCAACCATGACCCAGTCCCCTCATTCCTCGCTGCCTCATACCATGCATCCTTTCCCGAGCACTGGTGCCGACTCAACCAGCCCATCCACAAAACAGCTCTCGGTTTCAACACTCAGCCTCGACATCCAGCGAGCCATGCAATCGTCCTCCAGCCAGCCAAAGTACATCTCTTCCGGCAATAATGACTTCGAGCACCCACCTCCACCTCCTCCATCGCCAGTCGGCTTTCCCTCCGGCTCGACCAGCTGGAGGTAGACTCTATCTATCCGGCCACTTAACCCGGACAAAACAATACTCCTGTCCTGATGTCCTAGCCCGGATACACGGTCAACGAGCCAACTTCCAAAATCTTCAGCTGCTTTTCGTCCTTTTCTTTTCGCAACTATAATCTTAATTTGCATTCGGGTCGGGATAGAACGGAGTTGTTTTCATAGATGGCTTCCAGCTTCTTTTCTTCTTTTCTCTTTTTCTTTTCTCTTCTTGATATCCCTGCCCAACGAGCTGGTTTCTTCAGGTATTTCCCATACTGTTTTCTCAGCGAGATTTTGTTTCCTATATTGATTTTGCTTCTTCAACCCAGTACTCAGCCACACAACAGTGGTCTGCTTGCTTCTTTTCTTCCTTGTTTATTTGCCGGATCATATGTCCTCCTGACTGGAAATATTGTATACGCGACGCTGATGAGAGATTTTTTTTTTTTTTTCTGTATCAATCATCCTCGAATAACCGTCTTTTTTCAAGTTCCAAAATGGACTCGTAGTTGGCAACAGAAATCAACGCCTAACGTAGTCAGGCGGTCCTGAGACTGCTTGGGGAATATTTCTCTCAACCCAACAAGGCCTCCTCAGGAGCCTGCAGGTTCGCTAGCCGTAGGCGTTGTAGATCCCGCCTGCACCCCAGACCCACGACTACCCTGGTTGGAAACCTGGCCGCTGCCGCTCCGCTCGGCATACATCTGCTGCAATGCACGCATTGCATCCCCATCACCCTCCAGGGCCAACTTATTCAACCTCTCAGCCTCCGCGACAGCCGCTTCAACCCTATTCCACCCTGCAATTTTCTCTTCCTGAATTTGGCTCTTTTTTAACGGAAACACAGTCCTGACAGCATCGGTTTCGCCCCTGGAATGTTTCGCCTTCGCCAGCCGCGTCAGGAATCGTGCCTGGTTGCTCATTGCAATCCTGGATGCATCGCCCAAGTCCTCCCCAAACACGCTTTGGCTCTGACCGCCCGAGCTGGATATTAGATTGGCCTTTTGGCCCACAATCCTCACTCGGTTGGCGCACAAGAGCTCGCTGCTGTCCTCTTCATTTCTCCAGAGCGGAGGAGTTGAGCTTGGCTGTCTCTCGGATGAGCGAGTGAACATCAACTCCGTCCCAATCATGTCGGCCCAGGAACAGCTGAAAATCTGGTTACCATATGAAATTATCGGATTAGGGGAGTGAAGGTCCATTATCTGGATTCGGCTTTGCGACTCTTGCTCTTGGTCGTTGTGATCTTGCCCTCCATCACCGTCAAGCGAAGGTGTCATGGAAGGGTCAATTGGAGAGTGGGTTGGAGTCGAAGTAGATGATCGCTTTCTCGGGGGTCGTATGGGCCCGTTAACTGAGGATAGCTCGAGGTTGATATAAGCTGTCTATGTAGCTCTGGTTAGCACCCAGTGTATTGTAAGCCGCGACCTCACATACCTCTGTTTCAATTGGATCATACTCATATTCGTAATCTGTATCATCGCCATCTACGTCCATAGCAATAGCCTCGGACCGATCCATGGCTGTGAATAACAGCACTCTTCCTGTCTGATATCTTTGAATCTTCACCTTGACACCCTTAACAATGAAGGATGTCAAAAAGTCGCTTGTTGAGCCGCAGCCGACTTTTTTCGACGCCAAATTACGTCATCAATGCGACTTTCCAATTTCCAAATATCAAATCTAAATGAACACACTCGAATACTGTGACTGCTCAAGGTGTTGGTTCAGCTCCATGGACGTATCCCAAATACATTGATCGACCTACTCTATTGCGATACTCTATCCTATTGAGCAACTATGTTTCCTAACCAAAAGTCAACTTTCCAAATCATGGTTTGTTCTCCACTCAGATGCCTGTCAAACAACAGAGGGCCATCTGCAATTCTGCTGCTCCATATGTATCGAGGCTTGGAGATTTGATATAAGCTGTGCAGAGCGAAAACGAACCAACAATTACCAGTGCTAATCTCCAAGTGAAACCGATCAAATATGTAATTTCAGATATACAGTCATCACTTATACAAAGCCAATGGGAACTCCATTGCCTTAAACAAATCACACCACAAAGAATGTAAAGATCCATAGAGTATAAAACAAGAAAAAATCAAGAAGCGATGAAAAATCCAATGAGCGAAGGAGGAAGGGACCTCGGTGAAGAAATGACAGGACGCAGATGCAAGCTAGACAAAAGAAAGACAAAGTGACATGCATGAACTTTATGTACTCAGAACGAAGAACTGGGTTATTTGCTAAGGAGCGAGAGGGATAGGTGGCGAGAAAGTGAGAAAGTGAGTCAAGAGTAAGGAAACAGGAATCGATGGGAAGACTTGGTTAAGGGACGGGCGGCGCCTAGACTATGTATGCAAGATGAGAAATTTTTGCCCCAGAGAGAAAGCAATATGCAGAGATGCATGAGGAAAAAAGGGAAACCTTTAGGGAAATGTATATAATATGACGCCTTAATGCAGCAAAGACCGATTCTGTTGGTGAGGATTGTTCGTAAAGGATATATCGCTGCCGGCACTCCTTGGCCTCTCGGGGCTTCCGCCTCGATGCTGGACTAGTCGGTCTGTGCTCTCGCTGTAGCCGTGTCTTGGCTTGGATGGCGGTGAGTCGTGGTAAGGCTCGTAGCGGGAGATATGGTTCAGCTTGCCAATTTCTTCGTCGTGCATGTACCCGTGGGATTTGGGCTTGAGTAGAATTGAACCTCGAGGATCGAGTGGAGTTAAATTGTCTAGATCTCTATCGAAGTTTTCTGTGAAAATTCAAGTTAGCCGTGCGTAACGGTAATGGTAGAAGGGAAGTATAGGAGCATGCCTACGTTTCTCCTTGTGACGCTCCTCGTGCGGGTTTTTGCCAAACAGTGCCATTATACCGTTGATCAAGATAAGTATGCCCAGAATGGCCGCAAGACTAGTCTGGACGGCAAGGAGAGCAACGCCAGTCACGGTCTTTGTTGTCTTCGATATACCAAACTCGTCAACAAAGACGATAATGCATCCAACAGACAGTACTCGGACAACCTGAATGGAGATATTGATCCATCGACCAGACTTGGTTTCGAAAGGACGAGTCCATAATAGAAGAATAAGCATGAGGCCTTCAACAATAAACTGACCAGCAGATTGAACGAGACCATGCCCATCTCCGCCAGCAATCACACAGCCACGGACAAAGAGGTACACGATAACAGGGACGAAAATCCACCAGTAATCCTTCTTATAATGGTCGTAAAAGAGACTGTACTTGCGCCAAGCTTCCTTGTCCTCAAACAGAGCTGAAGCAGTTCCCTCAGTCTTCTTGAGGCGTCGGGCAAGGGACCAGATACGGAAGGTGAAGTATCCAAGAACGCCTGTGAAGAGCGTCAGGGTGACTGCAGCAAGAGTTTTTGCGGCCCACGAGTCACCACGAGTGAACTGAAAAATGCAGTAGAGGGTCCAAATTCCGTAAAGCAGAAGAATCAAGTTGGTGATGGTCCTGGCAAGGAAACCCCAGTAATGTTGTCGGAAGTTTGACAAACGCTCTGGGAACGTGGAGTAGAGAGCCCAGATTTCCAATATGACCTTCCCAAGTAATATGCCTGCGGCAATGACAGCAATGACAATGGCAAAGACAAGTAAAACAGTCATGAAAGTATTGGCTGCTGGAATAGAGAGTTCTTCGACGCCCTTTTTGATGCCGCTAAGTCGGTTGTTGACTTCCTCCTGTATATCACGGCCCAGGAGCTGGACATGGCGGGATGTGAGATCAAGCGAGCGCTTCTTAGCAGTGCTATTTGTGGCATTACTTTGTACTTTCAGACTCCGAAGATAGCTGACGCTGTTTTCCGTGAGGTTTCCGCCAGTCGCATTTCGGAAGTTATCGATGGATACCTGTAGGCTTGTCCAGGGAAAAAGACCCAGGCTGAAGCTAAAGTTTTTGGTAAAGCTCCGATAAACGGGAGGATAGTCCACACTACACAATCCATTCAGTGCAATAGCCTGAAAAAAACCCATAACTTGAATGAAAGATGGACTTGCACCAGGTGCTCCAGGGTGAGCGGTAGCGCCTACAGCACCAACGCCAGAGACGACCAGGGCCGCGCCAGAAATGCCAGCGGCAGCGTATGATACCATCGGGGTGTTTAGGGAGTGTCCATTCCCAACAGTTGACTGGATGCAGGAGAGCTCATTTTTGCCATCTTTTTCATCCAGCTTCAGTGTAGCTTCGGCGTCTAAATCTGGCACCATGAAGGCAATATTCGGTATTTTGGATCCAAACTCTTCTGAAATCGTTTGCTCACCTTGGGCGGTGAAACGGCCGGCAGGTACTAAAGTAACCGTCAGTATTCCTGACTGCTGTTTCCCTTATTGAGTTGAGAGTAGTATATACATACCAGGGCAAAGTTGGTCTATAAACGTGTCTGAGGAACATGGATCAAGATTCTGCGTGAAAGTCTGTCCATATGCAAGGATAGTAATGGTGGCAGTGACATTTTGTGTTTTGACGTTCATCCCAACGAAATTGTAGGTGACTCTCCTGGTTGCGCGGTTAAGGACGAAATCCAGCTCCCGGATCTCGATATCACTTTTCGGAAGGCAAGATTTAAACCCATTGTTCTTGAGCACATCTCCAGCAAGCGTAAGCCCAGCGTTTAGAGACAGGAAAGCCCACGCAACGATGGTAAGGGACATGAACTTCATTTTGCCGAAGGACGAGTCGAAGTTGTAGGGGCGTCCGAAAGGGGTAGTGACCGGGCCTGACAGGCCACTTTCGTTAAAAGGAGACTGTAACCGGGCGATGGACGAGATATGCGTATGTGAAATTCGAAACGGATAATAAAAGACAGTCGAGAAGAGTACTGAAATGCAAGAGAACGACGGAAATGCGTTTGCTAAAAGACAGTAGGACTAGCAGGGTCAACCCGCATAGTACGATGCAAAAGACGGTCAAAAAGGAACAATGCTGATTCTATCCTTGCACGCGGAGAACATGAGGAGATAAAGGAAAATGATAGAAGAAAGGGAAGGCGGCAAGACGAAAGACGTTCAGCATTGACGTCCCTCAGGGGCTAAGCGATTGGCCGACTCCCATAACCGTGCAAGAAACGAAGGATAAAAAAAACGGGCGGTTGGGATATCGAAAAAAAACGCTGCCCAGATAAGGCCGATAAACGCAAGGACGACACAAGCGAAGGTTAAGGACAGACGGAGATAAACAAGAGACGGACTGTTTGCTGTCGTAAGAAAAAGTATATGGTATGGTGATATTGTTTCAAAAGTGCCCTTTGCAGAGGCCCTTGGGGGAGGAGATGAGCAGCCGCCGATGATTGGAGACGACGCACCTGGATGGCAATATGTCGTTTCTCCGGACCATAAGATTTAGCGGGCCAATGCAAGGGTGTAGCCACTCGTAGGCCGCCGTTGCTCCCCTTTCGCTTGCAAACCAAGACATTCACGGCGTAATTATGGAGCTAAGGGGAACACTTTTTGCGCTGGCCTTCAGTCATGCATCCGCCACGTATCCACCAAGGCACAAGCACATCGCTGCTAGTGGTATGGAGCGTGGCTCATCTGTCACTCATTGATTGTGGTCCGCAGCTGTTTCAATCCAACGTGGCATATATTCAGCCATGCATTCCGTAAAGGGTTGTGTGAACAGAAGGGCTGCAAGCAAAGGAAAAGAAGTCGAACTGCAGAACTTTCGAGCAGGATAGTGGGCCAGGGACGGTTCAAATTAAAGAATTAAGGATTAAGAAATTAAGAAACGTCAAGTAAACCCCTAGGCAATTGGCGGGTCTGATCCACCGTAGGGCAGGCGGGAAGCTAGACTATAAGCCACAGCCACGGCCAAGACGGTTCTGGCCTGGACTCTTTCCTGGTTGAACTGTTGAAGGCAGAACGAGTCGGCTGGCGTTTTTTCGAGTCGTTTGTTCGCTTCAAAAAGGAGCTCTTTCTGGCCGGAGTATGCCTTCGTGGAATACCAAAAATAACTCCAACAGCCTTTAATTAAGGGTGTAGAGTCGCCCTCTGCCGCCTGTCCCGCATGGCTGAGGTCTTGAAAAGTTGACGTGTAGAAAATAGCATCTCCAGTTATCTCCAGGAGTTTATGAATTCGAGGACCAGAATGGGGCATGGGGACTCCATTTTTAATCAACTCTGGAATACTCCGTACATACATTTATTCGGGGCATCTTGGGCACTCCGTATGGAGCAGGGTTGTAGTACATGTTGCTGGCTTCGTTGATAGAGTGGCTACTCCTCCCCTCGTCTCTTCCATGCCACCTCGTTTTGTCCGGGGAGCAATATATTTCGGAGAACGCAAGCCAGCAAGCTACTTCTGAGCCTTGTTCTGCTGCTCTCGCATGGCTGCTCTGGCACTACGACTTCCACCGAGTTTCGGTCCACGTGGTGCATCTGTCTTAGAAGTTTTGGTGTTCCTGGTACGGGCTCCGCGTCTTCTCGAGTGGATGGCGTCTAGGAAATCTCTACGGAACTGATCTGCTATTCGATCATCTGCAGCCTGATCGTCCTCATCTGGGTGGCTCTGGGGCTCTTCATAGACATCGACTTATCAACCCAGTAATGTTAGCATAAAATCTCTAGCTAGTGTGCAGGATGGGCAAAGGCGAACGCCGCCCTGGAAAAAAGGAAGTAAAACCAAGATGACAAAACTTACGTTTACTTTCGCGCAAGACTTCTTCTACGAGCCGATCTCGCATTATATCTTCGCTATTACGCCTTCTCCTACCACTGCGAGTTGGTTTGCCTTTGTTCACTGTTTCCTCGTCTTCGGGAGCCGCGGAATCACCCTTGGCAAGGTTCCTGGTCGCAGCCTCTGTCCTTGCTATGTTCTGGAGCTTCGAGTCTGGTCCGAGGTCTATCTCGTGTAGTTTGCCTAGAGTTGCAGGCTGTCTTTGTGGAAGCTGCAGGTTGGCAGCAGAAGTATGTTCCGCCGCCTGCCGCGACTGGTTCTGGCCATCTGCAGGATTGGTAGGATCACTGTTTTCCGACGGTAACGTCCCATGGCGACGTTTAGCCATCTCAGCTTCTATAAACGCCATCCTTATCACGTTAGTTGTTGCGCTTGTAATGTGCTGACAAGACGGATGGAAGAAAACATGGGCGAAAGGTCTGCGTACATATGCTTGTCAACGTCGACTTTCTGGCCTGAGTGTCCAACAAATCGATCTGATATACCACTTAACCGGCCTTCGGCCGTGGTCTCGGCAGCTGGCACGAGAGCATCACTCCGCGACGAACGAGACGTCGAGAACTCGATGCCGCCTTTCCTGGTCTTGTTCTTGCGAAGTCGCAATATATCAGCGACTCCCATCTCGTCTGTTTCCACGCCATCTGGAGCCGGTGATGCCGGTGTATCAGGCGCAGTCGGTGTTGATGCCTTCGCTTCCACTTCGTCTTCGGGTCTCGTATCGTCAGCTCGTCGGCGCATGAACTTCCGTCGCTTCGCAGGATTAAATAGGGGTGCATCGACGTCCATGGTGAGCATCAGCAGGGAAGTATCTCCTCGTCTTGGGGTGTTTCTGTTGAGCTGAAGTTGATGAACTGAAGTCGATTTGATTTCTTTTCGCCTTCGCAGTAAGTTTCTAGATTATGTAATATATAATTACATAATCTAGAACTTTCGTTGCATTAGTTTGGGAACACATAAAAGATTAAAAGCAACGACGACAACAACAAGAAGGTGTTAAAGACGCGGCGGATGGATGGGCGTTGATAGAAAGTGAAGGAGATGAAAATGCATGGTGAGTATAGAAGTCAAGATATGTACAAATTGTTAATTAATAACAAAAACTGCAGCAGCCACCCTTTTTTTTTTTTAAAAAAAAAAGCATCAGCAATATATACGCCTGCCCCAAATCCAATGCAGAAGAAGATTGATCAGCTCAAGGCCACCTTAGCACCATATTTGCTAGAACAAGTGACGGTAAGCAGCTCGGTCCATGGATGCGGGTCTCTTGACTCGATGTTCTTGAAGGTCTGCATGATTCTGATAGTAGCATAGGAAGCTTCGGTAAGAGCAAATTGTTCTAAGACATAGCCATTAGTATACGAGCGGAGAAATAGTAGGGAAATAGAAAAGAGACATACGGCCAAGGCAGATTCTGGGACCACCGTTGAACGGCAGATAGCCCCAGCCAGGGCGGATGGTCTCCCATCGCTCAGGCTTGAATTCAAGAGCGTCCGGGCCGTAGATGTCGGTACGACGGTGCATGGAGAATGCACTATAAATGACCGAGGTTCCCTTGGGTACGAAGACGGGAGACTGGCCGTCTGGGCCACCGCCGCGAGGGAGAACGGTGTCCCGGATGGCACTGCGAGAGTTGCCTGGCACAACGGGGTATAGACGGAGAACTATATCATTTGTTAGCTGATTTAATGGCTGGGGGAGGGAGAGAAGAACGCACTCTCATTCAAGGTAAAGCGGAGATACTTCATGTTCTTGATCTCTTCGAAAGAGGGAGCGCGGCCGTCGAGCGTCTGAACCTCGGCCTGGAGTTTCTCCCAGACATCCTGGCGTTTCGATAGGGTGTTCCATAGCACGCTGAGCAGACTGGCAGTGGTATCACGGCCGGCAAGCAGGATGTTCATAAGTTCCGACCTCAGCACCAGCGGATCCTGTGTCTCCTTGACCAGCTCGTCCAAAAAGACATATCGGCCAGACTCATCAGGAACATCTCCAAGCTTCTCCCGCGAGTTGTACCGTTCGATTCCTTTCCTAACATAATGGTCTGCAAAGGTATGTACATCCTTGACCCCCTGCCTGTACTTCTTGTTCCCCCAGATGGACGGCAGCCCAAACCTGAAGCGTTTTCCAATGTAGCCGGTGCAGTAGTCGAACGACTGGCCGAAGATGTCGCCTTTAGGCGCAGTGCTGCGGTGGCCGGACAGAGTGCTGGCAGACTCTCCGAAGAGGAACTCGGTGGCAGAGTCAAGCGTCATGCCAAAGAAGAGGCTCTGCAGGTCGACAGTCGAGCCGTCAGTAGGGATCAGCTCTATAAGCTCGCGGACATGACGCTCGAACATGTTTAGGTCTGCAATCTGCGAGCGCGAGAAGTTGGGTCGCAGCATCGCCCTGGAGTGTTCCCAGTCGCTGCCATCATTGGTGAAGACTCCGTTGCCGAAGAGCTCACGGAAGCCGGCCTTGCGACGTGGCGGTAGCTGGTAGTCGTTGAACTTTATGGCCAGCACGGTCTTGACGTTCTCCGGTTCACAAGTCGTTATTACTGCAACTGTTAGAACTTGGGCGCTCTCGTCTATAGCTAAGGGCTAAGGGGAGGGGGGCGAATATGACACCTACTGGGGAGGCCGGTGAGCTTGCTGGTAAAAGTGTTGCCGTATTTCAGGTACCGGTTCCGGACGTCCTCGAGGAATGTGTCATGTTTGTTGCTCTTGATGGCCTCGAAAACAAGCCCCAGGCCGAAGATGGGATCGAAATCGGGATATGCTGGCGCCGCCTTGCAGCCATGCTCCTTTGCAGCACGACGGCGGGCGAGCGCAGTGTGGACGTACAGGGCGAACCTGTAGAGGACGAAGCTACCGAGCAACAGCCAGCCGAGCGGGAGAGCAAGCATCTCGATCACCCGAATATATATATTATTTGTTAATATAAAGCGGGACGCACACTGGAAAAGACGAAGATATAATAATTTATTCTATGTGAAAGGGGACAGCGGATATCGATGAAGATCTCGGAAGGTCAAGACAAGAAAAACCAGGCCCAGACGAGCGAGCGGGCGCTGCGGTATATAGAGACAGGCCAGACAGGCCAGACAGGCCAGACAGACAGAACAGCTAGCTCATCCCCGCTGATTCCCCAAAGTTCAACAGGGCCACGGCATTCCTCTATTTCTTCTTTACTTTGCACTCCACAAAAGTCTCTCGGCTGTCGGTTGGACTTCACATGGAACACGATAGGCTGGAAAGAAAATAGCTTGAAGACACGGAGCAACAAGCAGGCCGTCTCGTCCCGCGGTGTCGCTCGGCCTGGCACAACTCGCTGCACGGCCAGGCATAACTCGCTGATCGACCTGCCAATCTGTCCGGCATGTCCGTCTCTTTAACTAGCATCCTCGATTCGCTGGGCAAGGCTGGTACAAGACAGCCACGTCCGCCAGTTGGCATGGCCATACGGAGTGGAGGAAGAACGCAGATACAAGCTGTGCGATGCCAGGCCGGCTCCGACACCGATACCGACACCGACATCGTCACCAAGAGGACGATGTCATGGACATCTTTGTCCGAGGTCGATGGATTTATGCTATGGAGCCAACTCCTTCCTGGCAGTGCTTTAAAGACTCGCAATGAGGCGCACTGGATCCTACGTACCTGACCGTGTAGGAGCGATCTACACCCGCTTTCAGGCTTAATGGGAAAGGGACGTCGTCAGAGCTCTCTATTCTTTCTGGTTTCCCGCACGGATGAATGTCCATTTCCAGCGGTCACCGCTCTCGGCTTTGGCCGTTATGATATGGGCCAGGAAGCATGCAGTAGTTATGCGGAGCGACCGGCCCAGTTAACAGATACAGATACATCTCCATATATATGCGTCCGATGACAGATTGTACATATCCAGGGTGTAGGGTCAATCAAAGAGAACCTGTGTCTACGCCTGAGGGCATACCTGATAACCGGGAACAACCCGGTAATCATCCTTTCCATTAACTAGTTACCTATCCGTCAGGCGAAAAAGAAAAAGGGTTGGGAGTTTATCGATGTTTTGCTTTGCTGGCGACGGTTTGTCTCGCACTGCTCAGGTCTAAGACACAGGGCTACAAGGCCCCATATCCCACCGCCAGAAAAGGGGTTACTGTCGTTTCTTGGGTTGAGAGGAAGTAATATAAATTTGAAGACTGAGACTGCTCAGGGGGAGCAAAGGGAGGAATCAACTATGGTTATATCGTCATTCCGGGATGCAGCAAGATATTGGCAAGTTTTCATTGGTCCGTGGTAACTCCGAGTAACGTGACATGGATATATGGGATCCACCGCAAGTTGGCCCCTTTTTGTATTCCTGGTGACGCCCTTGAAGCGACGGAATTCAATCATGCCTATGCAGACGAGCAAAATATATGACTGAGATGTAAGTGTTGATAGTAATAAAGTAAGGAGTTTGAATTCCTGATTGGCCAGAGAGCTGATCTCTGCCGCGCGCCTATTTCACGTGAGCGCCAGTTAGCTTTGGAAAGTGGACACGCGACTCTTAGCCGCGAGCCGAGGTAAACAAAGATATCAACATCGGAGTTATGGATGACAATAATAATGATAATAATGGATGATATTGCGTTTTTTAGTTCGCATACCGTGCCCTGCATCTGGGCACTTGTAATGCGTTACTTACTAGACAGTTAACAGTTATATGAACATGGATAAACGGTAGTATGAATTTAAAAAAAAGACCCTGCCCGCCAAGAATGGAAGTAAGAGTGAGAAAAAGGGAAGCCAAACGCCGCCTGCTGAAAGACTAGAAGACTAGAGAAGACTGAACTCCGCGCCAAGAAGAGCAAAGGATGGTATGTATGTATGTAGGTATGTATGTGGTCATCAAGGAGTGTATTGGTCGTGATAGATAGATAGATAGATAGATAGATGGAGAGATGGCTTACGACGGGAGAGCAACGGCCACTGCTACGGCGGCGCCAAAGATACCGCTCTCCGGCGCGGGGTCAAGGGATAT